GCAGCCCGTGTCCTCTCCTGCACCAGGCTCTGTGGCCCTATCACCCTGATCCTCACTGACTCCACTGGCTTCTTATCACACAGAGGATACAGTTCAAGATCCTGATCCTCACATTCAAAGCCCCCCATGGCCTCGCTCCTCCCTACCTCTGCAACCTTCTAAGCCCCTACCAACCTGCCTGTTCCCTCCGTTCAGTGGGCTCCAGTCTGCTAGGAGTCCCTCACCCACCCCACTGTTGGTGGGCGGGCCTTCTGCCACTCTACCCCCACCCTCTGGAACTCCATCCCGCAGTCACTCCGCTTGCCCTTGCCTCCTTCAAGAATGTCTCAAGATCCTCCTCTTCAACTGTGCCTTCAGCCACCCTCCTTCCTCCACCCTGCCCTCCACCCTCCCCGATCCCAACCCCCAGCTTGGACTGAAACACTGCGACTGTAGAGCGCCTTGGGATGCCCTCCCGACGTGAACGGTCAGGAACCTCGGCGTTTTGTTCGACCCTGAGCTGTCCTTTCTCCCTCACATCCGCACCACAACTGGCACCGCCTTCCATCACCTCCGGAACATCGCCAGACTACGGCATTACCTCACCCCTCACGCGGCTGAAACCCTGGTTCACGCCTTTGTCACCTCAAGGCTGGACTATGGGAACTCTCTCCTCGCCGGCCTTCCCGCCACCTCCCTCCACAAGCTGCAGGTCATTCAGAACTCTGCAGCTCGTGTACTGTCCCGCACCAGGCTTCGTGACCACATCACTCCCACCCTCGCTCGCCTCCACTGGCTCCCCATCCACCAGAGGATTGACTTCAAGATCCTCATCCTCACCTACAAGGCCATTCACGGCCTTGCTCCCTCCTACCTCTCCAACCTACTATCCCCCTACCTACCTGCCCGTACCCTCCGTTCCTCTGGCTCCGGTCTGCTCCACGTCCCCCGCCCCAACCGCCCTACCATCGGTGGTCGGGCCTTCAGCCTCTCAGCCCCCAGGCTCTGGAACTCCATCCCCAGTGCCTTCGCCTTGCTTCCTCCCTTTCCTCCTTCAAGGCTGGTCTCAAAACCTTTCTCTTTGACCGTGCCTTCAGCTCCCCTCTCGACTCTCTTCCCCCTCCTCGCTCCCTCCCTTCCCTCCCCTCACCCTGACCATTTCCCCCCTCCTCGCCCCCTCCCCTCCCCTGACCATTTCCCCCCTGCTCGGGTCATGACCCAACTGTGCAGCGCCTTGGGACGTCCTCCTGACGTGAAAGGCGCTTTATAAATGGAATCTTGTTGTTGTTGTTGTTGTTGAATGTTGCTATGCAAATGTGTTGTTGTTGTTCATTATATGTGTCTGATAGGTGCTGATCTAGGAAGTTATGCTTTGATCCAGAGGCCTGACTGTCCGGTCACCACTACATGCAAATTATACAGGGTGCACTGTAATTCAGTGGTAATGTTCTACAGCCCCTTATGACTTTGTTGCTGACAGTGTGGCTGAAGTAAGTCACAAATTTATGATACTGTATTAATCCTAGAATACTGGAGTTGGGGGCAGCCAACTCTACAGGAATAAATTACAGTATAAAGATAGCCAGTAACCATATCCCCTTATTCAAGTTCTTCCAGTGGATCAATTGTGTAAAGATGCTGTCTCACGTAAAGCCTTGCTACACTGTTTATACAGCTGAACTTGATCTTATCCTCCCCCAATGTCCTCAAAAGGTGCCCTTTGCAGAAGATAATTAATCTAGTAAAGTGACTTTCGCTTCCTTAAACCAGAGATGTTGTGACAAGTTGAAGCTTCCAAGTCCAACCCTTGCTGAATTGGCCAGAGGAGCCACATTTCCTCCTCTGTCTCTCGGTGGGGTAGAATATTAATTTAAGCTTATGTGAGTGATGTGAATGCGTGTGTGGAGGGAATTGCAGATGTCCTTAATTATGTTATTAACCACAGAAAGGGGATTTGGGAATCCTTTTTATTAGTTGAGGTAACCTGAAATTAATTCCCTCTGAACATTGGGACTTGGGACTAACTATTAGTCTTAGCTGACACTTTTAGCAGTTATGGGGACGTGCTGTGTTGTTGGAGGTGCTGCCTTTGTATGAAACATTAAACTGAGGGCTTGTTCAGGTGGACGTTAAAGATCCCATGGCACTATTTGAAAAGAGAAAGGAGTTTATCCGGATGTCCTGACTAACAATCCCTCAAAGAAAATTGTTCATACACTTCACCCCTATTTGTGGGACATTGCTGCACGCTAATTGGCTGTCACGTTTGCCTACAAAATACATGGTTACTACAGTTTACAGTAAATCCTGTGAAGTGCTTTGGGCCGGCCTTCTAGACTCACAAAGGGCTTCACAGAATATACTGTAAAGTGAATTGACCGTATAATTTGTGGGTGAAGCGCAGCAGCCAATTGCTCACAGCAGTGTCCCACAAATAGTCGTGCACTGAAGTGACCAATTTATTATTTTTTTGAAAGAATTATTACCCCGGGAAAAACAATCTGCCAATCAACTGACAGCCAGGTTCCTATGTACTGCTAGGCAAACAGAGGCGTGTGGAGTAAGGAAACTTGACCAACATTTTGTCCTGCTGGGACTCGAACCCAGGTCTCTCGCTTGCGAAGCGAGTGCTCTGACCCCTGAACTACAGGATTCCATATAAATATACAGTTCATATAGCACCTTTCACATGAGGAGGATATCTCAAAGTGCTTGACAAAGCTGAATGGGCATCTGAGCTGGGGGTGAGACATGAGGAGGAGGGGAAAAAATGACCAAAAAGTGCAGTCAAAGCAGTACATTTTAAATAGCTTATTACTGAAGTACTTGATGTCCAGCTGCACCCATAGAAAAAGCACTTGAAGAGGTAACATGGGAGGTTCTGTATTAGGAGAAAGCTACCAACTTGAGGAGAGAGGAAGGGTAAGGGAGGGAAGAGGTATGCAGAAGTGAAATTAAAGCAGCAGATGAATTTCACCTGCTTGGGGATAATGAAACTTAAAAGAAGAGCAGGAAGGAAACTTGAACAGCATCCTCTTTAATTTTCATCCTACATTCCTGTCGATTTGGTCAGGACACACAGCTATTCAACTCACAGATTGGCAGGGATGGCGCTATCTGTGCTTCAAGGTTATTCACTAATGTGTTTAGTGAGTGAGTATTTGATCAAGTACAATCAGGATACTACCTATTTATCTGGAAGATTAAGATAGGGAAGTGCTCAAAATGGACTAGCATTAGAAATAGGAGCAGACTTGAAGAGAGATCAGAATCTGATTTTTAAATCAGATTTTCTTTGGATAAGCAAAATGAAGAGAAAGTAAAATCATCAGCTCTAGAGAAGTTAGCTAGTTGTGTGATAATAACATACATAAAAGCACAGCCTCATCTACTATGCATTGATTTGGCATAAGTAACGTTTCTCACTGTACTTCAAGTGTCACATATTTTTACGAAATAAATGAATTATAAATTCACACAGCTGATCAGGAACCTGAGCTGGGGGGTGGGAGAGCTGAGGAG